ATTCATCAACTAGTTTTAAAACCATCCACTTACAAATAATGGTATCTTAATATCACTAGAACTCTGTCTGACGAGGAAACTTCACGCCAAGTAAGTTTACCATTTAAAAACTTACTTCCTAACATGCCCACCAGTGGCACACCGGTATATCTGCAAGCTTATACCGCTAGAAAACGGGTTTCGATACCTGTGGTGAGCAGACCACAGATTGCTTGTTGTGTAGCTGTGTGCTTAAATACGAACAAAACAAACGTCCTAAAATGGTGTATATGTGTTCGTCAACGTATTTATATTTTTTACCAAATTATGTACATTTTTGTTGTATTGATTTCCAACACAAATAATATTCCAAAGCATTTTCAATAACTGTGTTTGGAGTTTTTATGGACTGCATCAGCTTTGACAGTAAAGACGAAGTTGCGTTCATCATGCTAAGACCTTCATCATGTCTCGATAACTGTCTCGTTATGATTATGTACACATGTTTATTTACCATCAGTTGAAAAAGAGGGGAAACATTTATCCTAATATAAAAGTCCCTTGTAATTCAGTGGTAAGGTTGGGTGCTTACAATATTAAAATTCGAAGCTTGATTCCTTCGTTGGACACAGCACAGATAACCTATTGTACAGCTTTGTGCTAAGAACAAATAAAAATGACTCTCTGTCTATTCAGTGGCATGTCTGAAGACTTATAAGGCTAAAAACCGGGTTTCGATACTTGTGGTGGACACAGCACAGTTAGCCCATTAAAACAATTATCCAGGAACTTTTCTCTTTATGTGCTTCGCTAGAAATCAACAAAGCAGCAACAACTAACAATCATGGAAATTTATTTGATGAATCACATGTTATTATTTCTCATATATATATATATATATCACGTGACACTAAGAAATGTTATGAATTCACCTTTCTTTGTATTAAAATTATAACATAAAAATTCCTTAAGTCTTGTAGTGCGTGAAAATATACATGCTTTTCTACTTCTCTCTTCTTTTTATTTTCACAACGTCAAGCGATCTGCTGGTGACGTGTAACTGGTTCATGTTGATGCAGCGTGGGGGCGAGGATACGAAACCTTGCAGATTTGTCGCAGCCGGCGAGAGGGTGAGGTTTATCGATTGTAAAGTCATATTAATAGTATCTGCCTTTTGTGGTTTGTTTAATTCGCAAACATTTATTTGATAACGTCAAATATGTCGACTTCTGGTGATTTTGGGAATCCACTGCGAAAGTTTAAGCTCGTATTTCTAGGGGAACAAAGCGGTAAGTATGCCGTCTAAACGTCTTGAACTTGAGTTGAAAATATATCCACCCAAGTGACCGAGTCTCTGACTGACATAGGCTTAACCGCAACATTACGTGATTCCAAGTATAATATTTATAATGGTAGTTCTTAAAAGTTTATTAAATTTAAATCATGTATTATTATGTATATATATTACTTAGCTCAGACTTACTTCTTTAGTCTTATCTATAGGCGCTACGTGTGACACTTTTTTGTATAGCACGTTGGAATGGAACGGGATCCTCGAAGGCCTATGTGTTAAATTTTTTGAGTTTTAACTTTTATGTAGAAGAATAGGCATAACATTGTTATTGATAGTTTAAACTTTAATATTTTACAAAGTATCTAAAATAGCAATTTATTATGTACAACCAACAGGCTAATTTTCAATTTTAATTACTTTTGGAAAATTAAAAGTAACAGTTCACATATACAAGTAATCTAGACCCCAAAGCTTCTGTGTTCTTATGTATATATACACATATACAACTTTTTATATTAATTTTAACTGTTAGAACTAATTTTCCAGTTTGAATCTACATTACAAGTGTATAAATACATGTTATTTAAAAGTATACATAAATATTTATTTATGGCTATCTATCACTTATTTTCATATGCATATTTTATATTATATACACAAAATTAATACAATATTCATTAAAGCATAATTTATTTATGATTTTCTGTTACCTTGATTTTTCTTGATTTGTTGGTAAATGTGTCATAAAACTTTTCTTAGTAATTCATAAACAGTATGTCTTGTAATTTATTTTTTAAGAAAATATATGACTTTGATCCATTGAGGCCAACCTCTCACAAATCTACCAAACTAAAGAATGAAAATAATGCAAAATGTATCTCTTCATATCCTTATGCCTGTCCAACAAATGCATAAATTAATTTAAACTTATCAGACAAACTATTCCACTAGCTTATAAACCTAACAGAGAATTAGTTTTTGCCTAAATACATGTGTGTCTGATCTTTCAAGGGTTTAATTTTTAGCCTGTGGCATTCATGTTTCCTTTTCCAGTTTTATCATTTTGTATCTCAAATAGACCCCTATAGACAACAGGTGAATGAAGTTGCTTAGACATATAGTTATTTATACTCCAGAGAAAAACATATTTAGATCTTTAAGCCTCTTTTCATAGCTTATGTTTTTTAAATTTGTAATCACCCTAGCAACATGTCTTCTCTTCTGAAGACCAAAACTGCACACAAAGTATTCTAAATGAGGTTTTCATCATAGTATTATACAGTTCAAGGGAAGAAACAGAAAAAAGTTTCCCCTTAAATTTAGAACTTTTTAAATAAATCTCAGGATTTTGTTTGATCTTCACATTTAAATATTCAAGAGAAAGTTTCAACTTGCAACCACATCTAATTCTAATTTCCCATCCTCTGTTGTTTTCGGTTAACAGCACCAATGCTCTTGAAACAAGAAGAAAATCCTTTCTATATTTTGACACCTCTATTATATTGCTTGACTTTGAAACTTATTTTTCAGTTTGTAGTGTAATTACTGATACTCTCAGGTTCTTCTAAAAAACTATAAACAGCATTAAGAGTGTTGATTTTTCAAGATCTTAGTATCATCAATGAAATTAGGAATATTGCATTTACAGAATTTGCTAAGTATTTGGGGGTAAGTATAGTCGTGGGAGG